CCCATCACCTCCTGGCAAATAGAAGGGGAAGTTATGGAGACAGTGACAGATTTTACCTTCTTGAGCTCCATAATCACTGCAGATGGTGGCAGCAGCCATGAAATTAAAATACACCTGCTTCTTGGGAGGAAAGTGATGACAAACCTAGACAACATCTTAAAAAGCAGAGATATCACCTTGCCAACAAAGGTACGCATAGTCAAAACTATGGTTTTTCCTGTAGTGATGTATGGAAGTGAGAGCTGTACCATAAAGAAGGCTGACCGAGGAAGAATTGATGCTTTTGAGTTGTGGTGCTGGAGAGTCCCCTGGACTGCATAGAGAACAAACCTATCCATTTTGAAGGAAATCAACTCTGTGTGCGCACTGGAGGACAGATCCTGAAGCTGTGGCTCCAATACTTTAGCCATCTCATGAGAAGAGAAGACTCTCTGGAAAAGACCCTGATGTTGGGAAAGTGTGAAGGCAAGAGGAGAAGGGGACAACAGAGGATGAGATGGTTGGACAGTGTCATTGAAGTAACCAACATAACTTTGACAAAACTCAGGGAGGCAGTGGAAGACAGGAGGGCCTGGCATGCTCTGGTCCATGGGGTCACGAAGATTCGGACATGACTTAACAACAAGAAGTTAGGCTGATAGGCTTCCCTGTAGCAAACACCAGGGATGCAGAAGGTGCCTCCACAAAGAGTGGGGAAGCATTGCGAGTATACCGAGGTATCTCCTGGGCAATGCTGTGCAGCCGGCCAATCCTTCAGTTCCAGACGTGTTGCACTGTAAACTTACTGATGAGCAGAATAACCTAATGGTCCTTTTTAGAACCACAAATACCAATAATATTTATCTTAACATTTTAATTTATTTTGAATTTTGCCTATATTTCATATACATCCATAATTCTATATTGTGCAACACTCTGATATAAATTAAAAAAGATAGCAAGCATGGCTTCTTATCTTCACGTAATCTTCCTGGGCTGCCAAACCTGCCCCACATCATGCAATCAATGAAGTTAAACCTATTTCAAAAATGTGTTGGTGAGACACTGCCCAGAGCCCATTTCCCATTGTCAACTCTTACCTTGCCTACTGAATCTTTTTTGGTTCGTCAAAGGTTATGTACGGTACAGTTGCACAAGTTAAGCAGGAATCAGCCTGCTCCACTGTCTCTCAAACAAGATAATATTTTCACAGGCATAAGGTAGACTCAGGTCTGGATTCTATTCATTCTGCAACTATAGAAACTTCAGTAAAATCTGACACTTTGGTGTCGATTTCCTGCAGGGTTCTGCCCAGTAGCTAGATGCCTTCATAACACCATATCAGTTTGTTAATTTGATCTGTGATATGCTTGATACTCTTAGTCACATCATTAGTTTTCCTTCCAGGAAATGTTTAGAGTGAAAGAGAGCTCAGGTTAGTTACAGGGACCCACAGAAGGCGAGAGGACAAAAAGCATCAACCCACATTAGACTGTCTGTACTGGAATTACAGCACACATTTATAGTACAAATACACAATGTGCTTGTGTCTCACATTCAGGCACACTCAGAAACATTGTCTTGCCAGCTGAATAGAGCTGGCACCATTCCTGGGCACAGATTAAGGGTGATTTTTTGAAGCCACCACAGCCCCTTTGACAGATGGCAGCAACAGCATAAACACCACAAGGGAAGATTAACCATCGACATAACTCATCAGACAGTGCCGGCTGCGTGGGTCAGTCAATAGGCTCTTTGCAGGAGGATGAATATCATAAAAGTCATTAGAGCCACTACTTTCGTTAGGAAAAGCAGGTCAACTCGGGTCACCATGCCACTGCCTTATAAATCCCAGTCTCCCTCTTGGAGCCTCTACCAGCCCCAGCGGTAATCTCGGAAACAAGAAACAGAGAGGGTGTAACAGGAAAGAAGGAATATATTCCTCCAGTGGAACCTTTTCAGAGGCTTCCGAATCGGAAGAAAGGACTGTATCTGTTTCGGTTAAATCACGGCTCTGCTGTGCATCGTGAGGAGGTCCATTCCGACGTGCACTTCAAACGTACAGCCAAAATGAATGCTAAGCAACTGCTGCGAGAGCAAACGAGATGCACTCGCATTTTTCATTCACACCCAGGAAAACGCGACAAGAAGACGCCGGATTTAGCAAGGCAAGCGGGATTCCCCTAAATAACAATGGGGCACCAGCACAACCTTTTTCAAAGCATACCGGGGAAAGACCTTCTTCCCCAACATGCATCGCAGGAATACAGCACGTAAGAAAGCTCCCTTCCTTACCTGGCGCTGCCATGCTCTCAGCCCAAACGAGAACCCACCATTCCGTTACCAGACCCCGCTAAGCATCCCCTCTTCTCCTTCCCTTTAACCTTCCTCGAGCATGCGCGGCTGCACACCAAGGGGGGGTAAACGAAACTACGATTCCCATCGGCCACTGCGCGCCGCTCAATTCCCCTTGGCCCCCGGCTATTGTTACTCTTGCGGGAGTCTATCTACGACGCCTTCGCCCATAGGAAGACCAAAAGGCAGAGGAACGCATGCGTGGAGGCCGGCACGTGAACGCAGAGGCGCCCTATCAGACGCCTGCTCGCAGTGACTCTCGGCGGGTGCGGAAAGCGGCTCGAGACGTTCTTTCGGCATGGCTCCTGCTCAGTACTGCGTCCCTGGTGGGTGAGAGAAAGCGTCACTACCTGCTAGGTCACTATAGTATAGTACTTTGCAACAATCCCCTGCCTATAGACATCATTTGGTGCAAGCCGGTCGAGTCCGTGAACGGAGCATGTGCAGCTTCCGGGGTCAACGGCATGGCGTTGTGTAGGCAGATGATCAAGTGTCCTAAAACCCTTCATCAGCACTTGGTTGGCCCCTTTGCGAAACAGAGGCTGGCCTAGGTGGCTCTCTGGGTTTATCAGGGCTGGGGCTGTCATAAGTAGCCTGCCTTGGCATCACGTATTGCAGAGAGGAGCGTGGCAAGATGTTGGGAGCCCTGGGGAGGTCCCATGGCTTGCCTTGAATCCTCTTAAGTTAGCCCGCTGTGCTGGTGCTCCTTAGATGTGATAAGGGACGTTTGCCACCCACGGCAGATTCAGTTGCCAGTCTGTTCAGGCTCTGAACATGGAAAAAGGGTGGAATAAGATGCTGGCCTCTGATTTATGCAGTAGGATGCCTTGAGGCAGCTTCCTGGGTCTGATCCAGCACGACTCCTCTTTTGAGTGCTAAAGGGAGGTGAAAGGCTAAGCTAATCAAACCAGAGTGGTGAGGGGCAGTTCAGATACCCATCTAGTTGTGCATCCTATTTCACCTCCAACCAGTCAGTTAAATGCTTTGATGAACTTTTCAACCAGGTCATAAAGCCACTAAAACACGCGCTGTTTCCCACCACAGGGTTTTGCAAGAATACTAGGTCTTAACTTGAGAATGTATTCGTTACTGATAGAGTTCATCTTCCGTTATCTTATCTTATCGTATTTTAAAGCTGTCAAAGATAGTTGCCAACTAGATCTTGTAGCAGTGAATTCCATCAATTTAGTATGGATGGCGATAGAAGAAGTGGCTTTGTTTTGTCTGGCTTCCAAGTCTGTAACTCTTTACCTTTTTAGGATTACTGTATATTCTGACGTTATGGGAGAGGGAAGAAGAAAAGTCTCCACTTCTCCCACACTGTACAAAATCTTATAAACTCTTAAAATGATCCTTTCAGTTACATCACATCCTACCACCACTCGTCTTTTTATGAAGGGCCATTGATTTACATAAAGAGTCAGTTGAAGTCTGCAGCCACTGAGTTGATGATGAATAAAATCAGGACCAAAATAAGGGAGATACTGTACTGCAGCATTGTATAACTCTGAGGCTTTCTCTTTGCCCCAGCCTAGCCCTTATCTCTCTCACCCACACTTAGATATATATATATATGCACACGAAGAGGAAACCATTGCTGGATAACTTGTTTGAAGAGCAGGAATAGGCTTATAGCATCTGGGAAAAATGTTGAAGCTGAGGCTGTCCTACTTTGGGGACATCATGCGAAGGCAAGATTCTCTGGAAAAGATAATAGTGTTGAAAGGTTGAAAACAGGAAAAGAGGATGACCAAAAATGAGATGGATTGACTCCCTAAAGGAAGCTACAGCCTTGAGCAGGGCGGGTCAGGACAGGACATTTTGAAGACTGCTGATTCATAGGGTCGATGTAAATTGAAGGCGGCTTGATGCCACATAAACAAGAAAGGACAGGATGATCATGGAGTGGTGAGGAAAACAACAGGCAAGAAAAATGGAAGTAGTTAGAAAGACATTTGTGGAGGTAGATTACTGAAGGGTTGAGAAGAGTGTGTTCCAAGCATACAGAGCAACACATGACATAAGACACAGAAATGCAGTTGGAAGTAGAGAGGGGAACGCCTGGGGAAAAACCAGAAAAATGGGGTGGGGAGGGTTTTTCCCCATTTTTTCCAAAGCCATTTTTTTTGCTTTTTTTCCATAAAAAATGGGAAGGGGGGATGGACTGTAGAATATATTCTTTAGCAATGATAAATAATATGTCTATGGCATGGCATTCAGACTATGTAACATGAAGACTAGAGATGTAAAATTATTAAACATTTCTAATTTTTCCAGGAAAAAAAATTCCCTCTTTTTTTCCAGGAAAAATTGAGATTTTTTGGAAATTGGAAGCTAGACTGTGAGATTGGTAAAGTAAATGTGCAGAAGAAAGAGGGCAAACAAGAATGTAACGTGAATGGAAGGAAAGACTTTGGGACTTTGATGTAAAAATGGTTAATGGTCAGGAGAGGAGATTTCCCTTGTCTAATGCTTCTGGAAACTGCAGTGAATGGCTCCCCTAATCAGGAGCTGCCCTCACCAGCATTACATCCCATTGTGGAGCTACAGTGACTCTTTTGAGGAATAATAGCCTACCTTCCTGTAGCCTGTACAGTACTCACTCAGAAGGGAGAGGAAGGGAATGGAGCTTAGCTTATTGTCCCATATGTATGTATTGAAACCATTGTATCTCCTTCCTTCACTAACAAAGCTTTAAGAAATATGTAATAATTTTTTTAAGTTCAATTAAAATTAATAAGTATGTGCGCTTGTAACTCATCAGTTAAGAAGATGTGATTATGACATTTTGCCTTGCTGACTGTGGTTTCCTTTCTTCCTCACATGGCAGACAGTTCTAAATAGCTGTACAGTGGTGCCTCGCTTTACGATTGCCCCACATTATGACAAATCCACTTAACAACGATCTTTTTGCGATCGCAATTGCGATCACAAAACGATCTGAAGAGAAAGAAACATCTTATGCTATATTGTAAGGCTGTTTGGTTCTATAGTATGTTTGTGTGAAATACGTAATGTCCAAGTCTCCCTAAGGAGGGTATGGAGTCCAAACAGGGAGTCACTCTGGTCACAGATCTATCACTTTTTCACTGAGGTAAGTCTTTAAGCCTCAGCCGTGCATAGCATCTGTGCCATGGACAAGCCTGACCATTAAAGAACACTTCACTGTGCTCTGTACTTTGAAAGTACTTAAGCATGGTCTTTGTGATTCCTCAGAACTCACAACAGCTCAGTAGGGTCGAACATCTTTATGGTAGCCAGTTAGTGACCTTTTCCACTCTACTGGATTTAAATCTAACCCTGCTGTTCCAAGAGACTAGCCCTCAGTTGAGATTTTATAATTATTTTTATTAAGAAAATATAGATTCATAGAAACAATTTGTTTGCAGAAGCATAAAAACATGTCCATATATTACAATACTTAAATAAAGCTGATATTTCTTATTAAAATAAGAAATACTAAAATCTAAGCTATGGTGGGCTATTCCCACCCCCTCCTTCTTCTTACCATACTACATTCTGTAAACATTCCTTCACATAGCACAATCCATCCGAAAACTCTCCAAGCTGGCAAAGCTAAGAGAAGCTCTTTAACATCTCCTATCATCCATCTTTTCTTACATTCCTAAGACCTCCTTCTTGACACTTCATAGCTGTAAACCAATTAACTTCGAAGAGGCATGACATCACTCTCCACCCATAATTCTCATGAGATGCAGGTGTGTTATATTCTCCCAATTAGGATGGTATGTGTTGAGTCTTCACACTGGGCCTCCTTCCTTCTTGCACCCTTATCTGAACCCTCACTGTACCAGGCTAACAGAAAAACACATTCCAATGCCTTCAAGTCATTTCACACAGAACCTAACCAACTCAATTTTCTCTGACTATAAATCCCACTGTCCTTCAAATCATCACAATACTCATCTCCTTTTATCTTCCTTATTAAGAGCACAGGCAGTATTAGCCCAACAATACATTTATATGTTGTAGAATGCCTGAGATACTTCTTCATTATGGCATTTTCTCCTTCATATCTGATGTTTGGTGCTGCCTGGAGAAATCTTATAGAACTGTATAAACTAGCCAGTGAATTTTGCACAGATCAGATTTCATCATACCAATTACTTCCAGTTCTTCCATACTGCCTTCTTCTACATACTGGCCATAATTCTGTTGCTTAGTGTAGTAAAGTGTGCTGGGATAGGCCCATTTGAATCACTGGAACTTCATAGACAATTATTCAATTGGCCTACTGTAGTGCAACCTAGTACACCAAGTAACAGGATTTTGGTCACTGGGTAATAAGGTGACATTGACTACTACAGGCCGGGAATGACTTAGTGTTTGAGCTCAAGAGATCTTTAACTTGTATTTTATCTTGCAGGAGAAAGACTGTGCAGCTTAGAGGAAGGAATCCCTGGGAGCGGCACCTATACACGCCATGGCTCCATCTTTTCCTCTCTGGCTGGTTGTCTTGTGAAGAAAAGTGAGAATGGCATGGTGAGAGTGAAACAATCCCTAGATGACATGGAGGTGCTGAGAGTCGCATGTGCTGAATGCTTTGTCATGAGTAGGGTTGGTTCACTTGTAGGAAAATGAATGGAAGGAATGAAGCCACAGATTTTTTAAAAGTTCAAAGCTGTGGTCCTGTAAATCAGAAGAGTAAGTATGTTACTGGCTGACAATCTAGAAGAGACTTGAGGAGAAAGTTGTATTATGTGGCCAACGTGACTTTGAAGCAATGCAGTTTTTGAGTGAATGATGAGGGATGGTCTTCTTTGCTTCCCTACAGCTCCCTGTGATCTCTGTGATGAGGGATGCAGAGTCTCAGCTTCTGCCTGATGTAGGAGCCACAGTGACATGCAAGGTAATCTGAATTGTCCTTTATTCAGCTACTTGTTTATTAAGGAAAACAACAGGAGTGGATATGGCAAGATATATAAATCAGTGCTTCAAGCCTGACTATTGCACATGAGTAAAACGGTTCTCTGCAGTTACTGTCTATTTTTACCCTGTTTACCTCCATGTAGGCTATAAACTCTAGCATTCTTTCTCCCAAAATGCCACATGGAGTTCTTGAAGACATTTCCCCTTTACAGGTGGGTTAGAAGGAAAGGAAGAGGCACATAACTCAAGCTTAGGGGATAAAATAAAATCTCTTGCTCAACCTGCCACAAGCTGACAACATCATCGATAGCAATTTTAAGATTGCTTTTGTTACTGAGAAAGAGGACAATGGTGTGGAGGCATTGAAGTGGGTAGGTTTCAAGATTGTTGTCTTTCATATTTAGCAAATCCTCTTCACAGCAATGTTTTTCTTTCTGTGTTTCCCTGTCCAGGTTTGCAGCATTAACTCTCGTTTTGCCAAGGTACACATCTTGTATGTTGGCTCGACACCACTGAAGTCCCCGTTCCGTGGGACAATAAGGTAGGGACTGATCTGGATTGGGAACATCTACTGGGTATCTGTAGCATTACATATATAGATTAAGCCACATAACTCTTACCAGTACTTGGTCTTCTCACTTATGGCCTTCGAGTGCCAGTGAAAACTAAGAAACTGAGGTCTTTCACTCTAACAGTCTGTAAGCTGTTAGAGTGAACACGGCCAAACAGCCCGAAAAGCCTATAACAGCCATTGGATCCTGGCCATGAAAGCCTTCGAGAATACAGTCTGTAAGCTATTTATCATCTTGTTTCCTGTTAACTAGATCACCTTCCTGCACAGTTCAATTGCAACACATTAGTCAATTATCTTACAGGGAGGCGGAGGAATATGGTTAGCTTAAAGCCTCACCTTCTCTTCTTCATTACAGGAGAGAGGATGTCCGTGCAACAGAGAAAGACAAGGTCAGTGGGAGAAATATTTTGGTTAAAACACATGATGGAAATGGGCATTGTAGGTAATACAGATGGCCTGGAACATTTCTTAATTCAAGGCTATATACACATCTTTCCCCCTCATTACCACTGTTGGATAACAACTTGGGGAAGGCTAAAGCCTTGTGTGAAGTAAGAAATGATTTGGTAATGAGCTTTGTTTGTTTTTGGTTTGGTTTGGTTTGTTTTGCCAGTGGAAAGGATGTTTGTGATTTCTTTTCTAACTGTATCATAGCTCAAGATGAGATGGCTGTTGTTGGGTTTTATTAAGCATTTTCTCACATTAAACTGGCCTTAATTGCACCATCTGCTATGACATGTATTTCTTGAAACTGTCATGCTCTGTTGCTAACCAGACTATCTTTCTCTCTCTCCCTTCCCTATCCCTCATATGCTGACAGGTAGAGGTTTACAAGAGTTTCCGCCCAGGAGACATTGTTCTGGCCAAAGTTGTATCCTTTTTTTCCCTGTTTTCAAAGAGCTAATTTTGTTAGTGCAAAAAACCGACAACAGAGTCTTGTGGGGTACCAGAGACTCACATGTTGTCATTTAAAATGTCAGCATGGCATTTTTCTCTGGTGGTTGCTAGCCGGAAAATAAATGGTCCAGGCCATCTCCCTTAACTCAGCCTGTGGGGCTAGATATCTTTAGGGGATGCACAGTCCAACTACTTGCTGACTACAGCAGAGAATGAGCTGGGGGTAGTGGTGGCTCACAGTGAAGCAGGTAAGAAAGGTTCCATTCAAGTCGCAAGTCATTCTGAAATGTACTATGCACACTACCATCATCTGTGCCTCACCCTTCGCAAGTGTGATTAAATAGGAGGTCCTTCTGCACCATCTTTAAAAGTACTGCTTGGTAAAAGACATTGTCCACAACAATGTGAAGTAAGCCCTCTGTGTACACTGGAATACCCTGTTGTCTGTAGATGTATTTTGGAGAGCTTTCTGAGAATAGAGTGAGTGTCATAGGAGAGGTGGCCATGGTAGTGGCAATATCAGCAGTTCATTATAGGGCATTGTTTCAGAGTGGTGGATCTTTTCCCAACAGTGTGTGTGCATATATATATCCAGTGGGGTCTTGACTTGAGAACTTAATCCGTATTGGAAGGCGGTTCTCAAGTCAAAAAGTCTGTAGGTCAAGCATATCAGCAGTTCATTAGAATCATTATTATTATTGGCTTCTGTTTCCATAGGTATACAGATGGTGCCAGTCAGCTGGTGCGAAATGCAGTGCCCTAGTACCCATGGCAAGGAGCTGCGCAAGGTAGCCCGGGTACAGCCCCAGTTTCTGCAGACATAGCGAGTGAGAAATTCATCAAGTTGTACCACTAGCAGAGGAAAGGGTACCTCCAGGCAAGGAGCTAGAAGGACTCGGAAGTAACTTTCTGTGCTGTTGCTGTGAACTGGTCTCACGTAAATGGAAGCCAGGGCTAGGTGTCTGGATCTCTTCATATCAGCAGTTCATTAGAATCATTATTATTATTGGCTTCTATTTCCATAGGTATACAGATGGTGCCAGTCAGCTGGTGCGAAATGCAGTGCCCTAGTACCCATGGCAAGGAGCTGCGCAAGGTAGCCCGGGTACAGCCCCAGTTTCTGCAGACATAGCGAGTGAGAAATTCATCAAGTTGTACCACTAGCAGAGGAAAGGGTACCTCCAGGCAAGGAGCTAGAAGGACTCGGAAGTAACTTTCTGTGCTGTTGCTGTGAACTGGTCTCACGTAAATGGAAGCCAGGGCTAGGTGTCTGGATCTCTTCACTTCTGCCTCTAGGATGCTTTGGGAAAAAAGACTTTGGCTACATCCCAAGTTTGCCAGTTGTACTTTTTGTAAAGCAATAAACTGTTCCTTTGGTTCCTGCCTCAAGTCAGAGGCCTAGGGCTCCATAGTGCCTCCACTGAAAGGGCAAATAAAACTGCAAAAGTTACATTCTTTCTTTTTAAACTATACATTACTTCATTGCATATAGGGGTCCACTTCATTTTAAAAAGAGGTGCTTTTGCTGTTAAATGCTGTAAGAGCTCATGCAACATACTGGAAAATGTAAATACTACTTCTGGAGGTTTCCAGGAGCAGTAGTTCATTTGTTTTTAACTGGGGAAAGCCATTTCTGGCAAGAAAGGACAAATTAATACAGGGCCTGAAAAAGCAGCCTTAATGAGCCGTAGACTCACATTTTGTCTGCTGCCCCAGTGCTAGAACCGTTAGTGCTTTCTATCCAGATTGCCTCCGACTTTCCTGTTTTAAGAGATGGGCCATAAATTCCAAATTGGTAACTGAGAAACTTGAAATCAACATACATGCTGCAGCTATTTCCCTCTAAGAAGCTAACCTGGCTTCTACATCATCAGCCATGTGAATTTGGGACATTAATAACAGCATATAAGTTGGAACTATCCACAAGAACTTGATGCACAGCCTTGAAGATGGTGGTTTCTCATTGAAAGCTCACTGATTATTTTTTGCTTTATATTTTCAATGGTCAATTAGAGGTATCACCTGTTCTTTCATTTGTATTGTTTCTGTGACCATATGGCCTTATCCTGGTTGTCCCTAAACGGCATCACATCAGGATAACAGGAGGAGTTTCTTTCCAGGGAAAGTTAATCCGCCTACATTGTCCTTTGAACCTAGGTCAATGTCCCTGATCTTTGCTGTACAGTATTTGCTTATTGCATTAGGCACTAGTATTTGTAACCAAACAGCACTGATTGATACATCAGTCAGTAAAGCACTGGAGGGAGGTTGTGTAGTCCATCTGTGGGATGCTGTGAATTATGATACCTAGTGTCGTTGATAAGAGTCATGGACTAGGACTCAAGAGGTGTGGGTTCAAATTGTCACTCACCCATGGAAACTTACTGGTGGAGTGGAACTGGTAAAGCCACTCCTTAAATATCTGACCTTTTAGGGTTGCTGGATCTGAATGATGTTTGAAGTTTAAAGATCAACTTTTTAGAGTGGTTCCCAGGAAAACTATGCTAGAAGTCTAGTGGCAACAGCTGTTGGTCAGGCTGCAAGATACCTTTTTGATTTTCTACTCTCCTTTAAATGACTCCTCGAAGGGGTTTAAGGAGGAGGAAAGGACATTCCTACGAGTAGCATGGCCGAATGACACTTTCACACTGTTTCTTGGGAGGAAGTGTATACATTTGTTTCTGAGGAAGTGGATTGTAATATATGAAAGCTCACACTGAAAATCTGTTAGTCTAAATTATCAGATTTTGTTTTATTGGGAAGTATCATGTGAAAGTTGAGCAGCTCTTGAGGAAATAAACGAGAAAAAATATGTAAGTATCACAGTATGTGTCACGAAACAGATCCAAGACCTTAGTGTAGCAGTAACCACACCTGGAGCCCCAAATGTCATTGTATTGCAACTCCTCAAAGTCCTTGGTAGCACATCCAAAGGTCAGGGCTCCTGGAAGCTGCAGTCCCAGATGAGCTGACACCCAAGTTTGGGAACTTCTGCTCTACACAGTAGCAACCGTACACTTAAGCAGTGAACTTTCAATACAAATATGTGTTTTTCTACAAGCAATCCAGGAGCTATGTGTGTTCTGTCCCCTTGCTCCCATCTCTACACACTGCTGATTTATATGTAGCATCAACACACACAATGAGCCATTAGTACTGTGATGTTTGGGCTTTCCCATGTAAATAAATCCCTACTGTATGAATACAGGGGTTTGAATCTTTCCTTGTGCAAGCAAGGCCTGTCTTGGGATGCGTGGGAGGGTCCTATTCGCTGAAGACTGTGCAGCTATTCTGTGGCCGGAGTGGTAGTCCAACTGCATCCTCACCATCTGTAGTACATATGCTTGGGAAGGGGATACAGCTGAAAATGGGCTGCTCTGATCTTCCTTATTCAACCTTCATAGACAGTAGTGTTGGGGTGGAGCAAAAGAGCACAGCAGTACCAACTGGGAAGAGATGGAGGAGTATATATTCTAGAGGACGAGTATAGCCTCCATAGCAGGGAAGTGTCTGCGCACTATTCTCTCTTAATAGCAGGAGAAAACAGATTTCTTTTTTGGCAGAAGAACACCTCCTTCTGCCTTATACTACTGTATTTTTCCATGTATAAGACTATATTTTTGTCTAAAAATTTTAGACTAAAATTGAGGGTTGTCTTATACATGGAAGTAAGCTGAGGAGTACAAAAACAAGTGGAGGGAAAAGCAGGGATCAAAATGTTCCTGCAGGGCTTCGATCCCTGCTTTCCCCTCCACTTGCTAATCCTTAGCAAAAGGAAAGCAGGGGTCAAAGAGCTGCAGGATCGTTTTGATCCCTGCTTTCCCCTCTGCTTGCTAAGTCCCATGGGACTTATCAAAAGGAGCGGGGAAGAATCAAAGCAAGGGGGAATGGGATCAGTTGCAGTTGCAGTATAGCTTTGAACCCTTTCCCCTCCTTTTGCTAAGCCCCGCATGGCATAGCATGAAGGTAGAAAGCAGAGATCAAAGCAGCCCTTTCCCCCTACACTTGCTAAGCCCCACTTATTTTAATTTTGGGTTAGAAAAGTGGGGGGGCATCTTATACATGGGGGTATCTTATACACAGGAAAATACGGTAGTTTTCTGTACTTTGGTCCAGAAGGGGTAGGAAAAAGAGAGTTAACTGGTTCAGGGTCAAATAGGCTAAATTGCTAGACTAGTTCTCTTAACAAATGGTCATAAGACTGCCCTCTTATACCATCATGCTTCAATCTTGACACCCAAAAGGATGGGTTATCTGGGGAATCCCACAGTATATAAACTGACCTGGAATAGCATCACCCTTACCTATAGTAAAATCCTAACACTTCTCTCAGTGTCCTAGCAGAGAGCATGCTTTTTGAAGAAGTAATGCCAGCAAAAGCTGCTTAAGAGATAAGTGGCAAACAGTATATACTACTCCAGTCGGTTAAGGTCAAATGACAAACTACTACTTCTGCCATCCCTCATCAGTGACCAGCTTGGCTGGTGCTAATGTGAACTGGGAATCTAACCACAGCTGGAGGATCACAGGTTCTCCGGCTCTCTTAAGGGACACTCGGTATTTGGTCCACCTGCTGAGCAGCATGAGAGTGCAGGCATTAACGTCATTTTCCAAGAGTGGGAAAGCTAGAAAAGTTCAGCCTCTGCAGTCATATTAGTTTTCTGCTCAGGACACTTACAGTTCAGAGAATTCAGTAGATGTTACAAACTCACCAGGAAGGATCTAATATCTTGCTATGGATGCCTGATTGGTATAGTAATGTAGGTCTCCGAACCCTAGTAGTAGCCCCCATCTTATAAGTAACAGACACAGCAGCTATTGCACATAATTCCTTTATTTTACTGAGACTAGGGCAAATGCAGCCATCGAACAGTGAAGTGAGCTCCAGTGTAATCCTGCCCTGTATCAGGCAAGTATGACACACAGACCACTAGGCAAAAAAGCAACACGTGATGATACATAGTATCTGGACTTACTGGCACTACATAGCAAAGTTATGGGATCACACCAGGAGATTCCAGAGTGGGTGCTGTTCTCTTCATTTCCCTAGCCTCAACCCATCTCCCTAATAATTGAAGGCAATGAAGCAAAGTTGACTTTGTTCACAAGGGGAAAAAAATATCAGGTAATAGCTCGAGACAGCTAGAAAAATACAGTATGGCCTTTTAGTGAAGTGACATGCTGTTTCTAAAAAGAGCCAATAAAAGTAAGCCGAGTCTTGCCTCCTACTGTGTTCTCTCAAGCAACCCCTAGCCTTAAGGACACAGTCCTGAATGGCTACGCAACACTTGATTGACAACAAATACAGCTGCCACAAGACATGGAATGAAAGCAGGAGGGGCTCGCTTTGGGAAATGCTGGGTGGGTGAGTTCTCCCCATCATGTTAGCAGCCCCACATCCCAGTATAGTGGGACTTGCTACTCTCCCAGAACCCCTGCTGGACTGTGGTCCACAACTCTTCAAGGTTATCTCTAGCCAGATCCTGCTGGAGGGGAAAAGGAACGGTGGAAGGAACTTGGTCTTGAAGGAAAGAACATGGCCCCATGAAGCTTCACCTCCTTTGGCTGTTCAGCCCAGTCCCTCAGGCTGTGGCAGGCATGTGCTGGGGAGGAAAGGGAGGAGGGAGGGGGGGTCTTCTACTGATTATGCGCCCCTGCCTTCACTTCTTGACCTTTCCTTGGGCTGCCACAGCTTCCATGGCCTTACGGACTGTCTCCTCATCTCCTAGGAACTGCATGGGCTTGATCGGCTTCAGGTTTTTGTCCAGTTCATAGACTATGGGGATTCCTGTGGGCAGGTTGAGCTCCATGATCTCGGACTCGGACATTCCTGCAAAGGAACAAAATCACATACAAAACTGGATTATATTACACCCCCCCACACACAAAATCCACTGAAAGGCAATTGTATTGAAACTTGCCTTTAGACATGACCAGGCTTGTACTGCCTTATATCAAAAGCAAACTCACCTTCTAGATGCTTAACAATGCCACGGAGACTGTTGCCATGAGCAGCAATGAGTACTCGCTTGCCTTCCTTGATTTGCGGCACAATTTCCTCATTCCAGAAGGGCAGAGCCCGAGCAATGGTATCTTTCAGGCTCTCACATGTGGGCAGTTGATCTTCTGTGAGGTCAGCATAGCGTCGATCCTGAGGGAAAATAGACCATGGCATTTAGACAGGGCAGAAGCTGCTTCCTGGTGCCTGTCAAACCCATCTGTTATGCGAATCTGTCCAGAAGAGGGCAAGTGGAACAACCTCAACTCAGAAACTGCTTTTTAAAAATTGATCCTTTGGTCTGTGCCACCAAATGCTCTAGCTATTCACTATGCTCACTGGTTGCCTACTGAAGTTAACACCTTAAATTAAGTAGGTACTTCATAGGCAAGGCCATGAAAGATCTTCTGTGTCTTCCTTGGGGCCCTCCCTACTGCTTTCACCAACACCACAAGAATTTAGTATTTACTGTCAACAACATCCCACAGCTTGAAAAACAGGCCTTTTTTAGAGATTATGTTGGAACACATTGCTCTGAGCTTTCATCCCCCTGCCCCACTGTCCTCTTGTGTACTCATTTATGGATACAGGTTTATTCAGCATTTATCTGTAATTTCAAATAGCTATTTATTTTATTTATTTGTTCTGTTATACACAGACTGTTTGGCAAAAGGGTGATATGTCTAGCCTTTCAGTGCTAGTAGTTGGTGTCCTAACCCACATTCATGCACATGCCGAGACAGAAGCAAGGGTCTTGCATGGGGCCTATGCTGTAGTCATTTCCATGTCTAGGTGATTAACAACCACGTTCTGTCTGTGAAAGTCTTTCTGCCCCCTTCCAAACAGCCCTGAGTGTTGTCATCATGCAGAACAAACAGTCACTTAGTGACACAACGTAAATGATTAATTACATAGAGGACTCCTCTTTCCCTTATAAAGTCATATTATATTTGTTAAAATACACAGTATAGTAGTTACGTCTCATATAAAACCAGCAGTCAGCAAAGCAAACTGCAGAGTTCCCAAAAGCATTGCTAGGGTGAATAATGCATATTAAGGCCAAAGCAACAGATGGAGATGATGAAGGGAAAGCCTAATGAAGCCACAGCTAAAGGGGAAGAATGAGTGAAATAACAGGGCTGACGTGAAGTTACATCTTATTTATAAGAGTCCCTTGCAATGATAATTGCTCAAAAACAATTCCTCCCTATCTTCAAAGCATCCCCAAATTTTACACTACATAAGGACTAGTGTTTCCCTGATCACCTTGCTGATGACACTGTAGAATGGATGGTCAGGCTCCATTGGAGGTGGTGGAATGTCGTAGGAACGCCTCCAGATCTTCACCTGGGCCTCACCATGTTTAGCAGCTGTTTCAGCCTTGTTTAGACCTGTCAGGCCACCATAGTGTCTCTCATTGAGACGCCAGGTTCTCACTACAGGCAGCCACATTTGATCAATGGCATCCAGCACAGTCCAGAGAGTGCGGATTGCCCTCTTCTGTACAGAAGTGAAGCAGATGTCAAATTCATACTCAGCATCTAGAAGAATCCAGAGAATACAGTGCTTATTCCATATGAGTAGTATGCTCCATGCTCAGTAACGTTATCATGATAACTGAAATACAAAGGTGATTCACCCTGACTTCACACCTAGCCTAAGGCAATAAAGCATCTTGAAAAGGTTGAGAAATAGATTACAATGCAGAAGCTTCATATGCTGTCGTTTGTTCATTCAGGATTTTAGCATGACACAGAGAATGAAGAAATCATGTAGTAAATCCTCAGGGAAAAATATAAAAAGCACACTCTATCCCGATGAACTAAAGAGAAAACCTTAGAGGGGCATGTAGATTTAATAAAGTTACATTCCAAAGACAAAAAGATAGTATACCTCTATTAGACCACCAAAAATTGCAAATAGATGCTAGCTGTTGGCCCATACAGGCCTCCATCAGGTTAGGCATGCCTTTTAATGGTCTAATAGTGATATCACCATCTCCTTGACTTTGGAATGTGTACATGGAGTTTTCTTCTTTTGTTGAAAAATGCTGTATGCTTACCATCACTAAGTTCCAGTGCTAAAAGTAGGTGCAAACCCAGACACTGTATCCTTCCTGCATGCAAACCCATTCTATTCTACTCTGCTGCCAAATTCATGACAACCAGCTACACAGAAACCCAATGAAATGGAAAGATGCAATTCTTATGTAATGAAGGAGAGATCATGCCAGCAGGCTGCTGCCATCACTCTCTCCAATGGCCCAAGAGGAGAGAAAATAACCTGTGATCTCCTTTGCAAAAATGGGCCATCTTGCAGAGCTGCACTGACAAAAAGGCCCTTACCTGCCTCTTCCATTGTGCCCTACTCAACAAAAATTGTGTGTGTGGGGGGAGACACAATTAGTATCACACTGGCTAAATTAGTAGTTGTGCAACACAAAAGGGTGAAATGGACCATAAAAGCATTGGATAACTCACATATGGTCCTATTCCAAATTATGTGTGCAAAATATATACATAAAAAGAATTACTACAACTGCCTGATGCAAGCATTTTAACCTGCATGAATTTTTTAAAAAATTGGTTACTAATACTATTATATTAAAATGACAGAATTTAAAACTAGTCTACAAAATTCCCAGGGCAGGAGGGGGGATATTTCTTTCCTTCTACAGATAAGAAAAATAAATTAATAAACAGGGTTCTTCTTGAGTCTGTAGAGAGGATACCTTGCTAGTCACACTAGTTTCTTGAATGCTCTCTTTCTTTCTTTCTCCCCCTCCCCCCTCCACTTCCTGAAGCATGAATTGGGCACAAACTGTCTCTCTGTTGCAGCACCACTGAATGACTCAGCTCCTCCTGCATCTTCCTAGCAAAGGCCCAGCCAGACTGCCCTGTAGGCATATGGGGGCAGCGGAGGCTTACTTAGCCACTTCTTCAGTGCCACGGCTCTTCTCACGCCATATTAGGCTACTGCAGTAAGGTCGATTCTTGGTTGAAGGAAAAAACACAGCTCCACCAAAGGGATGGAGAAGTGACCTATCTAAAGGTCACTGAAAGGCAGTTGTAGCACTGGGGCAACCTATTAGCCAGAGAGCTGCCCTTTTTAGAAGAGGGAGAATAACATACCCCACCCATTCAAAGTAGGTCATAGATTTCTCAGGCAAGATAGAATGAACAAGGCACAAATATTCAGATTCACTTCATTTATCCTGTTACTGCATCTGCTGGAGTTAGGTGCTGAGAACAAAACCACAAAGAAATCTGTGTCCCAAAGAAATCTAGCTGGAGACAGATGGTACACCACAGCATAGTTAGATAGCACAGGCCTAGCCAGAGGCAAGCTATTCAGGGCTAATAACCCTCATTTCTGATAACAATACCCGGTGGGGTGGGCTAGCCTAAAGATGCCCTTTGGCCTCTGGTGGGAACAAACTGTGCTGCATTTTTCTGGCAAAAAAAAGAAGAAGAGCACATGTGCTTACACAAAACCTCCCCTTTGCCCTATTTACATCTTCCCGCAGGAGAACAGTTGCTTAAAACACGTTCCAAGGCAAAAGCCCTGGCTCTAAAATAAGGTGTCCCAGATCTTTACACACTCAAAATCCCATGCGTTACCCAGGTCTCAATTGACCCATTCCATGCATCAGTACTATCATATGTTTTCATTTTATTTAAAATATTTTACCCCATCTTTCTTCTTAAAAGGAACCCAAGGCGGATTACAACATTAAAGGGCAATATTTAAAGCTAAAAAGAGTATGTATACAAATACTATAAAGGATCAAGCAAATACCACACTAAAAATCAAGGCGGATTACATCACTAAAGGGCAATATTTAAAACTAAAAAGAGTATACATACAAAGGATCAAGCAAATACCACACTAAAATGGTAAACAAAAGCAGCACTAAAGACACATTTTAAAGCAATAACGCACAACCATCCATTTAAAAACCCTACTCAGGCAGCCAGACACTAAGGGGAAAGTCTTTCTCAAAGAGAAAGCACACCAATGTTGGGACCAGCCTGTTCTCCTCTGTCCACTGCAAGGAGCATCTTTTCTCAGCGAAACTGATCCCTGTCTCCTTTTAAGTGGCAATCGCACACAACGGTCTTCCCCATCCAACTGCCCTCCAGAAATATTGGATCCCCACCCCTCTCATCCCCAGGTAACATGGCCCATGCTGCTTGGCCATCATGGCGACGAGGTCCATTCACCACATCCGGAGAGCACCAACTAGGTTGGGGGGAAAGCGACTCCATCGCAACATTAATGGAGAGCAACCACAGCTGAGTTCAGTTGGATTTGTTTCAGAATAAGCAAAACCAGGCTTTAGTTAGCGCGTCTCAGGAAAGGCTAAAGCCCAAGAGGCCGCCTTTGTGTGCGGGAGGTCAAGGAAGACCATCACCACGTGCAGCGAAGCTGCAAGAAAGGCCACCTGCGCTTCCAAACCTCCAGAGCTCACCAGAGGCCGCACTTGGGGGACTTGCATCCTCCATCATCCCCAAGGGCACCTACCTACACCCCCGGTCCCCGTTGCCAAAGATCTTCCCCGTGAGGTCGGGCACTTCCCTGCTTCCCCCCCGCCGTTCCCAATCTCCGTTTCCGACGAG